GGCATTTGTTCAACTATGTTCATAGCAGCATTATTTGTAATAGCCAGAACCTGGAAACAACCTAGATGTCCTTCAATGGAAGAATGGATGAAGAAAGTGTGGAATATATACACATTAGAATACTACTCAGCGGTAAAAAACAATGACTTCTCGAATTTTGCATGCAAATGAATGGAAATAGAACACACTATCCTGAGTGAGGTAACCCAGACCCAAAAAGATGAACTTGGGATGTACTCACTCATAATTGGTTTCTAGAGATAAATAAAGGTCAGTGAGTCTATAATTTGATCTCCTTAAGAAGCTAAATAAGAAGGTGATCCCAAAGAAAAACATATAGCTATCCTCCTGATTATGGGAAGTAGACAAGATTGCTGGGCAAAAAATCAGAAATTATATTTTTAAGTACAGTGTTGATTTTTTTTTTCACCTGAGAAATTACTTTTCAGTACTGTGGAGTCTTTAAAGAGAATCTGTAAGACTATAAAGATTGTGCTTTTTTTGTTGGAAAGGATTTCTTTGTTTTTTATGCTAAACTATGTTTCTTCCATATATATTTAAAAAGTATGTTTACTATTTCAGAGAGCATGACACCAGAAAGGAGGCCTCCCAAACTTGCTTTTATGTCAAGAGGAGTTGGTGACAAAGGTTCATCTAGTCATAATAAACCAAAGGTTATAGGTATGGAGGCCATTCTTGGTAGTTTACATGATAATATGATTCGCCAAGATATCAAATAAGCTATATGTTATTGTGTGTGTGTATATATATATGTATACATATAATTTGTTCCTACACTTTATGTAAGCTAAATTTTTATGTACATGATTTTAAGTGAGGATGTAGTAAAGAAACCACCGAAATGGTCAGCCTATGAGTTGTGGAGGGAGATTTTTATTTGGATAAGAGAGAGAACAGCTCGCGGTGTTACACGCTTTCAATCCCAGCTCTCAGGAGGCAAAGGCAGGTGGATCTCTGTGTTCGAGGCCAGCCTGGTTGACAGAGCAAGTTCCAGCAAAAAACTCTAGAGGGGGAGAGAGAGAGATAGGGAGGGAGGGAGAGTGTAAAGGAGGGAGCTTTTAATACACACCAGAGAAAGTTTCAACCTGTGTTCTGCTTGTTTGCTGAGCTTTGTCTAAATGAACCTTTAGGAGCTGACTGCCATGCATTCACACGGAGTATCCACAGTTTCACTTGGGAAGAACAAGTCCCCAAGGATGGCATCATGCACAGCTTCCAGGGTGCAGCTTTTGGGTGCTTTTGCTTATTTTTTTGTACAGCTTTTCTGAGTTGGCTTGGGCAGAATCTTCCTCGAGCAGTGAAGACTGCATGCTTGCCACTAAACTTTTTCTCTAATTCGTGAACCAGCCGGACTTGGATTTTCTGGAAAGAGTTCTGCTGAGAAACTGGTGCTAAAATAAGGATTGCTTTCTGACCATCACCAGCTTCAGTTTCCTTGGCTGTGGTGGTTGATACTGAGTTTCCAAGCTGTGCCTCGAGATCTGAGTTCATCTCCAGCTCAAGCCGTGCATGAGAGATGCTAGACTCGAAGTCATATGTCTTCTTGTCATCAGGCTTCCTAGTCTTGGTGCTTGAGCTGATCATGGCCTTTTCCTGAAAGGAGGAAAGTACCACTGGTCATATGGGTCGTGGGCTGCATTGTTAGGCCATTGACAGGCACAGGCCAAATATTCCACCACATCCCTAACGAGGGCACAGAGCCTCAGAGGTCCATCCTCCTAAACTACAAAGAACAAGAAATTGTGTTAATAAAATTCTAAGATGTTTATATTGTAAATCTAAAAAAAAATATTTCTTTTGTAATGTTGGGGATCAAAGTCAACAGAACCTTATAAGCTAGGTAAGTACTTTTTACTCAGGTATTGTTCCAGACACTGAGATTACTTTTTTATTTTATTTTATTTTTTTGGTGCTTGCATCAAATCTGGCATCTTACACAAACTAATATAGGACTCTACTCCTGAGCCATATACCCACCCAAAACCTGAATGTTTTTTTTAACTTAATTTGTACATCAGCTTGTATTATCACATTTGAAGTTTATGAAGGGAAATTATAATCGTGAGCCACATATTAATGGAATGAGTTCTGAGAAGTGCATCATTCGGCAGTTTGCTTTTTTTTGTGTGTGTGACTTTTTTTTTTGAGACCTCTTGTTTGTTCCCAGCTGCTCAGCCCCAAAATAATCACACAGAAACCATATTATTTGCAATACTGTTTGGCCAATAGCTTAAGCATATTTCTGGGTAACTCATCTTAAATTAACCCATCTCCATTAATCTGTGTATTGCCACGAGGCTGTGGCTTACCGGGTAAAGTTCTGGCATCTCCTGTGGGGCTACATGGCTTCTCTCTGACTCTGCCCTTCTTTCTCCCAGCATTCAGTTTTCCCCACCTAGCTCTGTTCTACTCTATCAGGCCAAGCCAATTTCTTTTTTTTTTTAATATTTATTTATTTATTATGTATACAATACAATATTCTGTGTGTCTGCCTGCAGCCAGAAGAGGGCACCAGACCTCATTACAGATGGTTGTGAGCCACCATGTGGTT